TTCATAAAGACAGTCACTTGCTTCATTCCTGAATGATTCCGCAGTTCGAACAAATCAATTGAATGAATGATTCAGTGATAAAATCAGTGACTTGCCGCCACCTGCTGGCAGATTTAGTTTCATTTTTAGCGTATGATTTCAGTTATTTAAATTATATTTCTGTATTCAAAATTGTATATTTAAAACATTAATCGCCACATGAATTTATGAATTTAATTGCACTCATGCTACCTCTGAGCCTCATTAAACGTCTGAAAATGTACCTACAAGCCTCTGTAGTACAAATTAATTTATTAATAATAATTTAATATGATTGGTAACTTATTTGTCTTATTCTACATATTGTTTTAAATAGAAATTTTAAAAAGATTATAAACATAAATTTTGGGATTTGACAGATGAAAATGATGTCATTACAAAGGTAAAAAGAAAATACTCCTGTAAATCACTTTAAGGAGTCAAATGTCACCTCTTATTAGGAAGGCTAATTTTTTATCAGAATTTTTGATTATTGATCAGATGGTGCTTCTAAATTTTTTAATTAGAAGGACAAGCACTCCTAATTACAAGAAGAAGAAAAAACTGCTCTTAAACTGGGTGTGTGACAGGTATGGCTGAGGAGTTGGCTTTGGTCGAAGAAAAATTCAGTCAAAATATTTTTTTTGCTTTAATCCCTGCAATATAATAAGTAGAATAAGACAAATAAGTTACCAATCATATGAAATTAGTATTAATAAATTAATTTGTACTACAGAGGTGGCACAGAAGAACACAAAAGTGGCTTGTAGGTACATTTTCAGACGTTTAATGAGGCTCAGAGGTGGCACGAGTGCTATTAAATTCATAAATTCATGTGGAGATTAATGTTTTAAATATAACATTTTGAATACAGAAATATGATTTAAATAACTGAAATTATACGCTAAAAATGAAACTAAATCCACCAGCAGGTGACGACAAGTCACTGATTTTATCACTGAATCATTCATTCAATTGATTCGTTCGAACGGCTGAATCAATCAGGAATGAAGCAAGTGACTGTCTTAATGAACTGACGGAAATCCATCGTAGCGACGGAACTTTAATCCCTGATAAAAGGACTTTATCTAGCTGAAATTTAGTGCTGTTTCTAAATCATGTTACTTTCTACCGGGTGTCTGTTAGATCACAACACTGACTGGAGTAGAGAACACTATGAATTGTTCTTCACGTGCACACAGTAACTGAAATTTAAAACTGGCAACACTGATAAGCGCTTTGTGCCGCTCTGTATTGGAGCCTTTTTATATAATACTTTTGCACAATGAAAGATTATTAATAGCCTTTCTTGTTCTGTCGTATCTATCATATGTTGCTGCCTCATTACTGTGGTATAAATGTAAAAGAAATGTCTTTTAATTTATAGTATATATTTACTTTTATGAATTTATTTTACAACAATACAAAGACCAATGTTTAACATTTTACCAGATTTAGTCCTACACTTATTCACTTTTATTTGTTCCCCACTAAATAAAGCTTTTTCACTAAATGTTTAGATTTTATCAAATTATTGTGCACTCATGATTTTTCTAGAGTTTTTAACTTTTGCTGCTAAATTATCCACTAACCTAGTTTATAATATAACCTAGTATTTTTGTCATAGATTGATGATATATTTTTTTCATTTGTTATTTTTCTTAATAATGAGGTTGTCTGTATTTAGTAGATTGTTTAACACACAAAAGAGTGATGATCAGGCCAACACACAGAGGTATAAGAAATTCTACTTGATTTAAGAAAAAAACAGCACTGCTATCGGATCGGTATCGGCCGATACTCAGACTTTTTGGTATTGGATCGGATCAGTTCTGAAAAAATGGTATCGGTGCATCCCTATCCAAATGTCCAACTTCAAATGTCATTTGTTGTTTCTCCATAGGTCCACGTGAAAAGTGAGAGCCTTGCCATCAAGATTTCACAAGAAATCAATTACGCCAAGAGCCTTTACTATGAACAGCAGCTCATGCTGCCTCCCAGTGAGAATGAGGATATCTTATTATTAGACTCTTAACTACACTGACCCGCAGGGTAGAAGGTGTTTCTCGCTCATTTTTCAACAGCTACTTCTTTTTTTCTGTTTCTTTGGAAGGACGGTAATAAATCAGCAGAGCGTGATCACCCATTTAAGCCAGTGTTTGGGACATGCTCACAGCATGTGGTTTGTTCAGTGATGCAAACTAGTCTAGAGGGGCTGCTGTAAGATCCGGCAAGCACAGATTTAACTTCAATATATGCAAGCATTTTAAGTTCTTTGCAAACCTTAGAAGTATAATTAATTTTGTTTATTTTACGACTGGTAAAATAACTGGTGTTTGCTGCTAGATGTACACGGCTATTCTGACACTGTATATGTTTGTGTATAGATTCTCTATGTACATATATAGGCACACACCAGTAGGACTATCTGCCATGTATATATAATGTTGAAAATAAGAATATGCTATGAAATTAATCTTGGATTGTTGTACAAAACTGCCTTTAAAAGAAAGTTAATTTTGCTCTGAATATGTGAGTGATTGGAGGTTGATTGAATTGCACTGATACGAATGTTAGGAAACTTAAGCTGCTCTCACCATTCCCCGGTGAGCCAACATGAACACAAACACACAATACAGAGAATGAGTGTTGTAAATACGGTCATTGCATTTTTCACCTCTCCACACACAGTCCACCCGCAAAAGCATCTGTCTGATGTTTTTCTTCCCCCAGTCTCTTATTTTCTTGTCTTCTATATCCAATTTAAGGAAGGTAATGAAAAATAAGAATGAACAATTTCATGTTTCTTCATTTTTCTAGTTTCCCCGAAGATCTTTTACAAGTTCAAGTGTAAGATATGAAACACATTTAACATATTTCATCATAAAATAATGGTATACTGTATCACACATAAAATTATGATTCTCTGCCTTTTGTGTGCTCTTTCTGTCATGTAATCAATATGAAATTTTGTCATCCGTTATTTTCACATCACAAAGAGACAATACTTTATTGTATTTCATTTTTCTCCATCTCAAACACTTATTTTACTGTTTTAAATTGAACATTATCAAGTAATTCATTAAGTTTCACTGAATGAATCTATTCATTTTAAGTTGTTACAAGTTGCTACCAAAGATCAGACATGTTTTCTCTTTTAAAGAGTTACCTTCCTCGCTTATACATATACTGGTCTATCAAAAAAAATGTAGATTTTTAACTTCTGTGACAGTGCCTCTGAAAACACTGGTCAGTATAATTTAGGATAATATGAACAATGCACCTAATGTGTTTTCTAAGTTGTCTGTTATATTTAAATATTGATATGTTGAATACAACCCTACAAAGCTGGTTTCCTCTATAACTGCACAAAACTGCAAAGTAAATATAGTGTGTAAATTTGTTTTAATATGCAAATGTATAAAGCAAAATAAAAGTTATGGTTTAACAGTATTTGTAATTGTATTTTTTTTTTCCCCAAAAATGATTTATTTGTTATATTTTTGGGGTGGTGGGGGGGATATGATATATAGGCTGCTCTTTATAGTTATTTTTGTACATGTGCTTTATCCAATGTTTCTTCTTTGTGTTTCAGAAAATGTGTGACCCGTGCTGGAAAAATGAGTCTGAATGCGCACGGGGTAATTTTGAGCTACGCCAAAAAGTGAAAAATGTCGAATTTGACATTTTCACAAATGAGTTCATTAAACCCTCATCTAACGATCCCAGTGCTTCAAATGGCAATTAAACATCTAGAATTGTTATTTGTACATTTTCTCCGCTCGCTTCTCGCGGTGACTGTCATCCGAAGAAGCGCCCGATCCCGATAAATATACACAGCAGGCACGTGCACACATCAGGTCGGGTCTGGAAATGTCGAGATTCTGATCGGCACATCACAGTCACAGACGGAGAGCCGCAGCGGCAGAAGTGAAGCCCGCCCTCTCTCTCCAGGGGCCTCATTTATAAAATGTGCGTACGCACATTTTATAAATGAACGGCACATTTTATAAATGCACGGCAGCGTTCATATTTATAAAAACGGTTTTTGACGTGGAAAAGTAGCTACTTACCGTCACGTCAGGGTCTGAGCAGGCGTACGCACTTTTCCTTGTGGCAAAGTCGGAGTAGGCTACTGCAACTGTTTGAACATCTAAGCTGCAATAATAATAAAAGCACCGAATTCATCATAAACAACAAAGATGCAGTGTAAGAGATTAATGTAGGGATGGGCGTATCGATACTGACGCGAGTATCGAAAGTATCGATACTTAAACAAAAAATACCGATACTAAGGTGTGTTTTATTTACCAGTGATTTTGTTTATTTAACAAAAAAATAATAATGCTTACAATATGCATTGAATTGGACGAATAATCTTTGTTAGCGAGTAATTGTGTAGGATAGTGTGTCCTGAACACACGCAAACGAAAAAAAAAAAAAACACGCAAATGTTGCAAGACAGAACCAATCCAATAATGCGTACAATATGCATTGAATTGGACGAATAATCTTTGTTAGCGAGTAATTGTGTAGGATAGTGTGTCCTGAACACACGCAAACGAAAAAAAAAAAAAACACGCAAATGTTGCAAGACAGAACCAATCCATCACAGAGAGCGTTCACGCACTTCTGACAGTGCATTCAAACAGGGCTGCATTTCCCAAAAGTACCATAAGAAAGAATTAAAGCTTTTGGGAACGGCAGCCCTGAACAATGCTTATCAGAGGACATACGGACCGAGTTATTTCACAATAAACAAACTGAAATTGTAGCTTACATAGTTTGTGCAATTACAGTTATTTAAATTGAACGTTGAAAGATAATATTGATCATGTTCTGTTCTGTAATGTTAATAGAAATCATACACTGTCAGAATAAAAAGGTTGCATTTTATGCATGCAACAGCCTGTCACTGGCAGTCCCTTATGAAAATGAACCATGGTTTTACTAAAGTGACCATAGTTCAACTGTAGTATTTTTAGATTTTAATCATGTGTAAACACAACATATTTGAACCATGTGTAAACAAAAATATACTTAAGTTACAATTAAGGCGTATTGAATGTTAAAATGTGTTTTAAACAAAGTTAAGTGGTTATCATTACCCATTTTACTCTTAGTAATTTAATAATTTCATAAATTTCATAATTTAAAAGTTTAGTTCAGAAGTATCGAGTCGGTATCGATATCGACGATACTGCCTTGAAAAATATCGGTATCGTATCGAAAACAAAATGAGTGGTATCGCCCATCCCTAATTGTGCAGTGTAGTCAGATTTCAGTCGGGAGTTTTTGTGAGATTAAACTGACCTTTTTAGTAGCCTAATGTTGAGAGTTTTTTACTCGCGTTCTGTACAGTTTATTCCATGTTGTTGTTTTTTTATTATTTTATTTTACAAGAGCTACACTATATATTTTTGTGTCAGTGCATTATTGGCACATTTGAGCAGCATTAGTAAGCTGTGTAAATATAAAGAAATGCCAAATCACATGCAGTTTTTTAAGACCAGAGACCATAATCGTGTAATAATTGATTTTATTATGATATAAAACGTCCAATGTTTCTTTCAATTTTTTTTTTTTTTAAGTTTTGCAAGAATTTCCTGATACTAAACTTTTTATTAGTTGTCATAGCAAGTGATTTTAAAAGTAGGATGGCTCACTTTTTATAAGATGACTGAAATTTTTACTTGAATTCGTAGTTTATTCTTTCCTTTGGAAACCTAATTGTTTTATAATTACTACTATTGTTATTATTTCTGTTGTTTCTAGAAGTAGTTTTCAGACTCAGTAAAGTTTTGTTTTTCTTTTTTCTTTGTGCTCGTCATTCTCAAGCATAGAAATTCGAGATATTGGCGTGTGCTCTTTTATATGGTAATGATATTAATTAGGAATTTGTCTTGCTAACATAACATCCATGACTCGAGAGATGCCATGTAAGTTAGCTAAAGTTTAGCAGGTTAGACCAGTGCGCGTTCTTTCACTGCATGATTCAGTTTATTAAAATGCATTTTGAATGATCACAAAATTCAAGATATCGGGGCAGAATTGTATATCATTACATATAGTTAATCAGTATCACGCGAAGACTGACGCCGTTTCCACCAAAAAGCAGCATGATTACAAATGTGATATTGATTTTATACAGCAGTTCAATAAACAAGAATTTAATATTAAGACACTTACGTTTTAGACACAATATTCACTGCTTTTGCTCTATTTCGCCAACAAATATAATTCCAATTTGAGTCTCTGAGTAACATGACGCTGATTTGTTTCTGAATGAATCAACCGTTTAAATGATTCGGTTCAGTCGCAATGACTCACTTATTAACAGTGCCTTGCTGCCACCTACTGGCAGTTTTAGTTTCACAGTTAAAGTATTTTTTTATATATATAATTTCAAATATCAGTATTCAACATTTTATGTTTAAAATATCAAAACTGTATTAATGCATTTGTAACTGCAGATTAAATACACTCATGTCCTGCATTATACAGTGTGTAAATGCATCTAAATGCCCCTTCTAATGCAGCTTCTGTGTTTTCTCTGCATTGCAAAGATTAATTTTGTCAATACTGATTTCATTTGCTTGGTAACAGCCCAAATGACTTATTATTCTAATTGACTGATTCAAATGTAAATAAATATGAGAAGTGCCCTTTTCCCCTGCCCCTCAAAATGTCTGTGCACGTCCCTGATACACAGAATTACAGTAGCTATTTAAGTATTCACACAAACATAATCTGTTATGTCTTAAGTGAACGTTTGGGGAACTGTTGGGGAAAAACATCTGATGTGTAACATTATATTAGATCCGTCCATTACAGTAGGTCTGAATATATAGGTCGTCTGTCTCATTAATGTTAAAGGGGTCATATGATGCGATTTCAATTTTTCCTTTCTCTTTGAAGTGTTACAAAGCCCGGAGTCGTCACATGTGGTTGCCGCAAGCCCGCCGTCTGCGCCGTTCTCAAGCTCACCGGCCTCCTCTCACTCAGCTCGCCGGCCGTTCCTCACTCTAGTCGCTGGCCTCTGCTCACTCTAGGCCGCCGCCGCGTGTGACGCTGTTTCGTTGTGAAAGCGAAACTACTTTGTTTGGCCTTCCAAAAGAGGACACGACTAGAAATCAGTGGTTAAGTTGTATTTACAACACTGTTCCAGAACACTTCAACCCAAATATTCAGATGTGTGCAGCACATTTTATGGAGGACTGTTTCCTGATCCTGGAAGAGTAGACTACAATGCCGGCTGTTCTGAATCACAGACTGTAAGTACGTTTTATTTTTTATTTATTGAGGAAGACAACGACGACAACAATCAACGGCACAAAACATACCTAACAGCCCGCGCGAGAGAGAGAGAGAGAGAGAGAGAGAGAGAGAGAGAGAGACTGCCTGAATGACTGAGCGCATCCTCCGTTAAGTCATATTCATAAAAAAATAGTTTGCGATGTCCTAAGAGTAATGTTGTGGTAATATCCTTTCAATTTTAAGGGTAGTGTACTCCCCCATGGCTTGCGTCAGCACTGGTCAATGCATTGATTTCTATAAAGTGAAGCATCAGCTTCAACTTTTCCCCCTGTCGTTTATCCCAGTGTTTACCCCACACGTCACTAGCTCCGCCATTGCGCCATAGATCGTGACCGGAAGAGATGATGAGTCGTTTTGAGGGGGAGGAGAGGTTAACGTTTTTGATTAAAGATTACAAGGGCACATGAATTTTTCAAAAATAATGAAGTGCACAGATAAATTATTTATAATAAACACTACAGTATTCCATTAAAAAATAATAATTTTCAATTTTGATTTCATGGTGACTTTAAAGCATTATTTGTTTTTTCTTATATTTGTTCTACTGTTTGTTTTTTGCATCTGTTCTTATTTATAATAACAAAGATAAAAGAAAAAATAGCTATATTGTGATATTGTAATTATCATTAAGAAAAGAACTGGAGGAAAAGATGCAAAGCTGCAGGTGATTTGCTTTGGAACCTTCAGAAAACTTATAACTCGATTTTTCTTAAAATTGACTTTGCCGACTCTATCGACTTCAAACGCATAGCTCAGTCATTTTCATCCGATTCCAACAAATCATACATCATTCTGAAGGCCATTTACAGGAAAATGTAAAAATAAAAATATTTCATTTTTGAAGCACAGCAAAGGTCACATGACATATTATGTCAATCTTTCACTCATAATAAATAAGCAAGCAAGATTATTTCTGCTTACCTTCTAAAAAATAATGAAGTGCACAGATAAATTATTTATAATAAACACTACAGTATTCCATTAAAAAATAATAATTTTCAATTTTGATTTCATGGTGACTTTAAAGCATTATTTGTTTTTTCTTATATTTGTTCTACTGTTTGTTTTTTGCATCTGTTCTTATTTATAATAACAAAGATAAAAGAAAAAATAGCTATATTGTGATATTGTAA